GAGGATAAATACAATTTGCCTTTGCTGACCTCAATTTACCACGAGTCAGTCTCTCCAAGCAGGTGCATCTCTCTTCATCCATGGCTAGCATAATTCGATTAGCAAACCAGTCTACACCCACACTATAAGTTATCTAGCTATATGGCTCTTGAGTAATGATATTGATAGATATTAGATAGGTTACTTCTAATAGTTTCTATTAGCTGGTTATTTACTGCCAGCCACCAGTTGGTTAGAACAGAGGAGGAATGATGGCATATCCTAGTCTGAATATGACTGACGCCTGCTTGGCTAGCTGACACACCTAGCGCGAGCTCTGGGAAAATCAAGTAGACTCGCTGCAACCTTATTGAGCAATTTTGCTTTATTGAAAGCACGATATATGCTCTCATCCACTTATGTATTGTATGATAGAAAAATCACTTGGGGATATAACTAGCTAGCTAACCCGCTACGCACTTCTGCTTTGGACCAGTGGGTTTAATTCCCGATGCCTTCACTTCTCTCCCTCCCTGTCGGAATGTCAGTGGCTAGCTAGGCAGCTTTCCATTGCATAAAAAGAAAAACAATAGGGATATGCGTGTTATGTAAAAACATTTATTGCTTACCTGAAGCGTTGTCGATAAATCACTGTTTGTTTTGATCGAAACGATTAAGATAACCAGCTAGACGCTGCAGTAAATCCGATAATTTCCAAACCCTGCGCCGCTAGTTTTCTCTAGCAGCCAGCCCTTCCCCCGACTGACGTCACCTGCGAAGCATCCTCCTTCGTTTGACTGTCTGAACATTCTCCCTGCTCCATCCACCCACTGAGTTATTTCCCTAGGCATAATAAACATAGCCCAAATATAATCAAAAGGTGTTTTAAATGTAGAGTGATCGCTAAAATCATATTGTAAATGTTATAAAACAACATGCAATAAAATGTGCTTTTATGCAAACACTGAAATATGGCACATTATCTGTGATCTTTTTTGCAACACTTATTCATATATTGCTAGCGTACCTATAAAACCCTAGACAATCTCACAAAACACATTTGTATCACTTGGAAAGTAATTGTATTCGACAACTAGGACTTTCATTGTAAATAATCTCTCTGGAAATATTTTTGGAAATTACAATTAATTCACAATTAATTTACTTGAATCATAAACAAATAAAAAACCTAATCAAAGACAGACTATTGTACATATGAAATACTACATTAATGATTGCCGTGTTATACAGCATGCAAATTGTTAATTGTTCAAACCTATCTATTTGTACTTTTAGCTATAGAACATCAACATAACATTTGGGTGTTGGCTATATACAGCAACCAATATACGGCAACAAAAATGATTATCTTTCATGTTAAAATAGGCATTCTTCTCTGCAGACACCTATCTCCACCCTCCTTAGCTTCCTTCACATGTCTGGTTTGAGATTCTTCACTGACCACGTTTACATGCACACCAATATCCCTTTATTATTCGGGATACTCACGTTTTCTGTTTTTGAGTTAGTGCATATAAACATCATATCCCGTTTACAATAACCCGAAAAAGCTTGTATCCCGATTATGAGAAACCGGATAAGATACCTGGGATATGCTGATCTAAGATGTGATACTGTGGCATGCAAACATTTTATCCCATTTTATCCCGTTTACTGTTGTTTTTGCGGTCTACGCAGGCTCAGTTTCGCATGTAATGTGTTGTGTGATGATGTTCTCATCTGATTGTCAAACAAATCACTTCAAAAAGTAGGCTACCTGCGCAGTTCGATCCACCATAATTCCATAATAATTTAGCCTATAATTAATTTACTATAATTTACTACTGGCTACTTTCACCCCTAATTTAGACACGTTTTTGCTTATAATTTTCGACATTTGGTAAGCCATATTATAATTTCCCACATTTGGTAGGACATTTGTTTGTCAACAGTTTGATAAATGCAGCTTCTCTTCTGTCATAACTTGTTGCCCCAGAAGACTAAATAAAGTAGTGCTCACCAGAATAATGTCTTACATCGATAGAATGCATGCATTAGTAATTTAGTTAACACCGGTGAAGTTGTCTGTCTGTTTCGTTTAGGGACTGCGGAGAATAACTCAAAAAAACAGTGGAAAGATTGGTCCTGTGCAAAATCAGTTTGACCGTTTTTAAGTAAATGATAAGCTGAGTAAAACTACAAAACATTCTTCTGATAAGACTTCAGTTCGTCTTGGCTGCATATTTTATTTGGTTGAAATACTATCTGCTTGCATAAAACACTGTCAAAGATAACACATTATAGGCACATTCACACTTTCTCAAGATATGCTGAAATAAATCATATTTCTCCACTCCTGTTCCCAAGACAACATTTACATTTGTTATATAATTTCACTGCAATAAATGCATAATTCTGCAGGAGTTCATATTATATTAGACTACATGTGAGAGGTTATAGGCCTACAGTCAGTGTCCATATTTCAGTTACTATTCCATTTAACCCATATACTTAAATTAGGAATATTCTGTTTATTCATGGTTAAAGGGATACTCATGAGTGGGATATCAAAGGTGCATGTAAACAGTTTACCCCGAATAAGACCGTAATCGGATATGAGCTACTGTCTGGAATATGCCATAGGGCGGCGCACAATTGGCCCAGCGTCGTCCGGGTTTGGCCGGGGTCGGCAGTAATTGTAAATAATAATTTGTTCTTAACTGACTTGCCTAGTTAAATAAAGGTTAAATAAAAAATAAAAAATAATAGAAAATACTGTGTGCATGTAAACGCAGTCACTGACAGACACAACAATATTCCACTAGGACAGGGATCAATTAGATTGAGCCGCAGGCCGATTTATTTATTGAGTGACGGTCAGGGGGCCAAAACATAATTATAAATAATTTGTAGACTGCAAATTGACAGCAAGAAGAAGCCCAAACAGATATTTGACTAAAACATAATAATTTCAAACCTTGCTTACATTTGCATATGATCACATATACACTGTATTTCTATTTTATGCATGGGAATACTTTGGAACAGATTTCCCAAATTAAAATCACTTGGAGATTATTTTTGCTGGTGTTTTTACAATTTTTAATGTCCAACAATAACTCCAAATAAAATCACCAGCGGCCACCAGTTGGGGAACCCTGCACTAGGAGTAGAAATAACCACACTGAGTCATACTTCTGGGTCCATATTCACAAAGCGTCTCAGAGTAGGAGTGCTGATCTAGGATCAGTTTTGTAGTTTAGATCACAATGAATAAGACTTACTCTGAGACACTTTGCAAGTACAGACCCAGATCCTGGATCAGTGGTTAGAAGTGACTAACTACCACTTCAGATCTTCCCTGATACTGTGTTCGGACTGCCGATCCCGGTCCCGTTCACAGGCAAGGCTGGCTGTTCCTCCTCCTCTTTCCTCCCCAGCAGTCTGTTGAACAGCTTCTGGAAGGTCCCGCTGAAGGCCGGGCTAGAAAAGTAGTATACGATGGGGTTCAGCACGCTGTTGAAGTAGGTCAAACACACAGAGGTGTAGAACGCCAAATTGGCATCTTGGAAATACCGGCACTCACTGTACCAGGCCTTGAGGATCCACACAGCGATCCGAGACACCGTACTGGGGAAGAAGCAAATGATGAAGATGAGTGCCACGGCCATGACGAACTGCACCGCCCGCTTGATCTTCCCTTTGGTGTCAAGCGTCTTGCTCTTCAGCTGCCAGGCTATGCAGACGGTGCAGAAGGTGACAATGGCGGTTGGCAGGAAGAACTGGATTACGTAGAAGGTGTTGTGCCATGTAGACAGCGGGCTGAAGCTCATGCAGATGTTGAAGCTCTCGCACTGCGTCCGGTTGTTGCGGTAGAAGAAGTGTTCGTCGGCCAGCAGGTACCCGGTTGCAGCGATGATCAGGCCCCACAGGCCCAGAGACACCCACAGAGCGTAGTTCAGGCCCATCCGGTTGATCTTGTTCAAAGGGTGAACGATCTTCAAGTAACGGTCGACGGTCACCGCAGTAAGGAAGAAGATGCCAGCAGCACGGTTGGCCGCCAACAGGAACAGCATAAGCCGGCACAGGACATCACCATGGATCCAGTGCTTGCCGCGTCTGTAGTAGTCAGCTCTGAAGGGAAGACAGAACAGGACGATGGAATCGGCCACGGCAAGGTGTGCGAGGTAGACAGAGTTGTGCTTCCAGGTGTCCATGTGGAAGATAAACATCCACAGAGCCACAACGTTCCCCATCAGCCCGAACATGAACTCCAGCACCAGGATAGGAGGCAGGACCCGGTCTAGAATGGGAGAGTCGAAGGCGCAGCAGTTGTCGGCCGTAGTAGTGAAGTTCGCCATGGGTCAAACGATACGGACTGGAGAGCGTCTGTGTGTGACTTTGCTCCCCTCTGAAGAGAGACTAGAGATAGGGTGCAATACGCACCTCCTGGGATCGGGGATTTTATTGTTTGTGCAAACGATCTTCCAGCGCCAACAATGTGGAGAGTGTGTGTGTGTACGTACAGTGTGTTCTCTCTTGTGGGGTTCTATTTGTCCATAGGGATATGGCTCTGCGTGTGTTCACTAACAGCCCAGGGATTATGGCTTCATTATAAAACTATTATGCTGGTGGAAATATTATACTCATGGGTATATAAGGGGCACCAAGGGTTCCCTGAAAACAACCATAGATAAAGGTCACAAAACAGGGTCATGTTTAGTAGGCACGAAATGGAAACACTCCGAACGAAGAGGTTTCAAAGTGAGGTACCAATCTATTCTTTATCATTGTTTTAGGACAGTGGTTCCCAACCAGGAGTACTAGGACCCCTGGGGGTACATGGCCTATCCACAGGGGGTATTTGAGAAGAATCCTGAGACCATAGGCTTACTGGTAAAATGCACGAGTGGATGACCCTGCCCCTTGCCCACAGATGTGTTTTATGAAATTAAATGACACAAAGGCAGCATGAATACACACTGCAGACATTATAGTGAGACATGTACATACACAAAGTGAGATGGACTAAAGCGTGAACAAGTGATTGAGACCGACATTTATTACCCTACAAGCTTGCCAAGTGAAAAGCGTTTTACAAGGATTCAGATCATCAGACCAGACCTTTGGCAAACAAGAGAGAGCAGCTATCAAGAACTGAAAAATGCCAAGGGGGGGTGGCCGAGTCCACAGTTTCTATACAGTAAATAAAATAGATATAAAACGACTCCTTTTTTAATGTTAATGTGTACATTTGGCCAGGTTGTTGTTGTTGTTGTTGTTGTTGTTACAGGTCACATCCATTCTCAGTAAAAGTGCACGTCGGGTCTTCACTTTTTGACTTCTCCAAGATCATCAATGCTGTCGTCATCCACCTACAATGGAGAGAAAGACAGATGGTTAGTGTGTAGGGCTGTGATGTCTCATTGAGGGTTTCCACTAGTTATCACACCCACAAAATGAAAACAATTAGCTTTTTAGTTTTAAGGTTAGGCATAAGATTAGCAGTGTGGTTAAGTTTAAAATCACATTTTATGAAAATAAATTGTAGAAATGGGCAGGGTTTATGACTGTGGTAACTAGTGAAAACCCTCATTGAGGTACACACAGGCTACTGCGTCTATTTCCTGTAACTAACTATTTTCCATCATCTATGTGACGTGGGAGAGTAAACGCAGCTTTCTTACCTCAGGCCACTTCTCCTGAATGACATCGATGATGTCATCTGTAAAATCTCCCTGAATTATGATTTCATCCTCCGCCGTCACCGAGGCGCCGCAGGAAAACTTCTGGGCAAAGAATCTCTGAGCCTCTTTAAGGTCAATGTCTGCAGAGAGGACGTCCACAGTCACAAGCAAGAAAAACAAGGTTACTGGTCTGTCCATGTCTTTAATGAGGAGGTTACAGTAACGGTGTGTGTGACAGTCAGCAGTCTTACCAAAGGTGTTCATTCCACAGACACGTGTGACGTATTTCTTCTTGGCGCGGGGGATTTTAGCTATCGTTATTTTCTGAGGCACAGTCTTCTTTTTCTGTTTGATCTGTCCTCTGCCACCTGGACAGTCAGAACATACAGATTAGAACAGGGTTCTCCAAAACCAATCCTCAGACACAGGGGTCTCCAAAACCAATCCTCAGGTGTGTAGTCATGGATGCCAAAGGAGGACAGGATTCCCCCAAATTTGACAAATAATTTTATTAAAAATACAAATTGTCTCTTTCCTCTCTCACTGTTTCATAATTTTCCTTCAATTCGCAAGTGGCTGAATCGATCTTACCGGAGAAATCATCAGAGCGAGGGAAACAGCGCTCCTCTGTCTCAGTAGGTGTAGCCCATGTATCTGATGCTGTCTGGCCAAAAAGAGTATGACATGTTTCCGCCCGTAGCATAGACCGGTTTAGATGTATATTTTATTAGGATGCCCATTAGCTGACACCAATGGCGACAGCTAGTCTTGCTGGGGTCCAACCAATGATGTATATAAACCCTGGATTGCTGATGCTATGTACTGGCCATTGAGAGGCTTTGAACCCCCAGTCGGCCATATTGGCACTCCCTAGTAGGAGCAGTCCTCCATAGGAATGAATGTAATTCCACAGTATTTCAATTAAAATGTGTCAAGGACAAAATGTACAGTGAGGGAAAAAAGTATTTGATCCCCTGCTGATTTTGTACATTTGCCCACTGACAAAGAAATGATCAGTCTATAATTTTAATGGTAGGTTTATTTGAACAGTGAGAGACAGAATAACAACAAAAAAATCCAGAAAAACACATCTCAAAAATGTTATAAATTGATTTGCATTTTAATGAGGGAAATAAGTATTTGACCCCCTCTCAATCAGAAAGATTTCTGGCTTCCAGGTGTCTTTTATACAGGTAATGAGCTGAGATTAGGAGCACACTCTTAAAGGGAGTTCTCCTAATCTCAGTTTGTTACCTGTATAAAAGACACCTGTCCACAGAAGCAATCAATCAATCAATCAATCAGATTCCAAACTCTCCACCATGGCCAAGACCAAAGAGCTCTCCAAGGATGTCAGGGACAAGATTGTAGACCTACACAAGGCTGGAATGGGCTACAAGACCATCGTCAAGCAGCTTGGTGAAAAGGTGACAACAGTTGGTGCGATTATTCGCAAATGGAAGAAACACAAAATAACTGTCAATCTCCCTCGGCCTGGGGCTCCATGCAAGAGATCACCTCGTGGAGTTGCAATGATTATGAGAACAGTGAGGAATCAGCCCAGAACTACACGGGAGGATCTAGTCAATGATCTCAAGGCAGCTGGGACCATAGTCACCAAGAAAACAATTGGTAACACACTACGCCGTGAAGGACTGAAATTCTGCAGTGCCCGCAAGGTCCCCCTGCTCAAGAAAGCACATATACATGCCCGTCTGAAGTTTGCCAATGAACATCTGAATGATTCAGAGGAGAACTGAGTGAAAGTGTTGTGGTCAGATGAGACCAAAATCGAGCTCTTTGGCATCAACTCAACTCGCCGTGTTTGGAGGAGGAGGAATACTGCCTATGACCCCAAGAACACCATCCCCACCGTCAAACATGGAGGTGGAAACATTATGCTTTGGGGGTGTTTTTCTGCTAAGGGGACAGGACAACTTCACCGCATCAAAGGGACGATGGACGGGGCCATGTACCGTCAAATCTTGAGTGAGAACCTCCTTCCCTCAGCCAGGACATTGAAAATGGGTCGTGGATGGGTATTCCAGCATGACAATGACCCAAAACTCACGGGCCAAGGCAACAAAGGAGTGGCTCAAGAAGAAGCCCATTAAAGGTCCTGGAGTGGCCTAGCCAGTCTCCAGACCTTAATCCCTTAGAAAATCTGTGGAGGGAGCTGAAGGTTCGAGTTGCCAAACGTCAGCCTCGAAACCTTAATGACTTGGAGAAGATCTGCAAAGAGGAGTGGGACAAAATCCCTCCTGAGATGTGTGCAAACCTGGTGGCCAACTACAAGAAACGTCTGACCTCTGTGATTGTCAACAAGGGTTTTGCCACCAAGTACTAAGTCATGTTTTGCAGAGGGGTCAAATACTTATTTCCCTCATTAAAATGCAAATCAATTTATAACATTTTTGACATGCGTTTTTCTGGATTTTTTTGTTGTTATTCTGTCTCTCACTGTTCAAATAAACCTACCATTCAAATGATAGACTGATCATGTCTTTGTCAGTGGGCAAACGTACAAAATCAGCAGGGGATCAAATACTTTTTTCCCTCACTGTATATTTAAGTATTTTTTTGTTGTACTGGGGACAGAAACATTAGTACTCTCTAATACTTTAAGGAACATTTTATATATTTGTAATTTATGTTTAGCTCACATAATATAATTTTAAAAAGGTATGCATTAAGGGGTCTGTAATAGAATAAACATGTCAAAAACGAATGTAGACATTAATAAACGCATTTCTATAGCTTCCAAAATATTTTTTATAATGGAGGAGTGCCAAGATGGCTGTGCGGTGGCTTCAATACAGCGCCCCCCGACAGTCATCCAGGGTTTATACACATCATCGGGTCCGACACATAACGAAAAAGACAGACAAAAGACTACAATTTACACACATTTAAAACATCAACGTAGTGTGCGTGCATCTATCAGTTACACATACATGTCAGTACATACACAGAAAAAGTAGTTCAAATGGGGGAGAGGCGTTGTGCCGTGAGGTGTTGCTTTATTCGTTTTTTGAAACCAGGTTTGCTGTTCACTTGCGCTATATGAGATGGAAGGGAGTTGCATGCATTCATGGCTCTGTATAATACTGTACGTTACCTTGAATTTGTTCTGGAACAGGGGATTGTGAAAAGACCCCTGGTGGCATATCTGGTGGGGTAAGTGTGTGTGTTTAAGTGCTGTGTGTAAGTTGACTATGCAAACAATTTTGAATTTACAACACATTGTTTCTCATAAAAATAAGAAGTGATGCAGTCAGTCTTTCCTCAACTCTTAGCAAAGTTAGCGAAGAACATCACGAAAACGATGTGCAAGCTTCAATGGGGCAGAAGTACATGTGTTGTTGTGATTCTGGATGGCCAGAAAGCTAGCAACAATGACAGGAAACTGCCATATGGGGAATCGTAAGTGGCTCATTTCAGCTAGTTCTCTCTTGTTCTTGATACCAAATCTTGAGGTGTTGACTGATGTCACGTCAATGTTAATATGGCTAAAATTCGCTAGCTAGCTAACCAACAACCGTAACAACGTATTTGACAGACAACAAGCGCTCATTGTGCAATGTTATGTATTCAATAAATATTGGAGACTACATATAGTTTACATGTTGTCAACAATCTAAGCAAACCCAGTCTGTTTTGCCCCATAGTGTTGGTTTTGTTGCTAAACAACCAACCCGTCTATTGAATTCAATACACTGGTATGAAAGTCCTGCCTACTTTCTGAATCATGTCCAAGGCTGTTTTTGAATGGCCTTCAAGATTATATAATGAAATTCATGAAAACACGGCCATATGTCATATGTAAAATTATATTCATGGATTAATTTACTTCTAATTGATGCCTTTCATGAAGGTTTTCCATAGCATTACATTTTTTCGAAAACCTTCATAGGGTAGAATTAAATTAATCCACAAATACAAATAGAAATGTACATATTACATATGACCGTGTTTTCATGAATTTGATTATATAATCTTGAAGGCCAATCTAAAACACTGTAGGACATGATCCAGGAAGTAGGCGGGACTTTCATACCGTATAGCAAGGGGACCCTACAAAAAATAATAGCCAATCAGGGTTTAGCTAAACCAGGTCCTGGCACACCCAAAAAAAGTTAAGGGAGGCCAAGCTTCACACCAATCAAATCATATAAAAGCAAAATGTCATTGACAGAAAAACTGTGTTGTGTCGTTATCCTCCAGTGGCTAGCTAGCTAGAATATCGGCCCTTTCCTAAATTAGCCGTGGATGGAGATGGGGATTTGGACTTCTGGTTTTATTTTATTTTATTATAACAGCGATTCTGATCAAACCATTTAAGATACATTGTGCCCCAGGCCTGAGTGGATGGAAGTTCAATATGTAGCTAGATGTAGTAGGCTAACGTTAACTAGCTGGCTCATCGTTGAACATGCGAGGAAGTTGGCTGGCAAACATTTCACCCAGGTAGCCTAGTCTAGGACAACAAAAACTAAAAGTGTGTACTGTATGATAGAGTCAGACCCTTTTGGAAACATGAAAGAGGGTAGGATGGCATTAGCGAGTCAACAAGTTTTTGACGTGCACGCACACACAAATCAGTACCATGGATAGCCACATGATATTTAGCTTACATTGATTGGACTAAATTGTTTTTGTTTTCTTTAAAGTCATTAGACTAAGCATAAGCTATAGTTGATTTGATGATGTTGAGGTTGAAATGGTGCTGGAATAGCAGAGGCAGCTCCTATTTCCTTTGCGACTTCCGGTAACTCTCAATTTTTCTAAACCAATAATTGTTTAGTAGTTCAAAAATGTAGGAAACATTAACTTGATTGACCATTCTGTATGTCAGGGATGGGCAGCTTTGATGGAGGTGGGGGCCCAAAAAATCAGAACTCATCATGAGGGACCGCAGTGGCTCGCTGGTCAGCCCTAGCCTTTTGGGGGCCCTAAGTTTTAGAGTTAATTTCCTGCAATTCTAGACATTTTGCCATGGGGCAGAGAGAAAATGTTGCAGTTTTAAAAGCAAGTTTACTGCAATTCTACACATTTTGCCATGGGGCGGAGAGAAGATTTAGCAATTTTATAACTCATTTTATGAGATTCGACTCATTTTGCCATGGGGCAAAGGGGAAAAATTTGCAGTTTTACAGCTAATTTCCTACAATTCTACACATTTTGCCATAGGGTGGAGAGAAATGTTTGCAGTTTTTAATATGATATCTGAGTGAGAATGACTAACTAAATCAATGGGGCCCCCCCGGTCGGTAATTCGACCATGACTACTACAAGTTTAGATAGCTGGCCGCTAGACTAACTTACCAATAAATAAAAATGTTAGCTGACATTGAGTGGCTAATTGAGCCTACAAAAATGGCACCGACAGAGAGGGCTGCCTTGCTTCTAGCTCTTAGGAAACTTTGCAGTATTTTGTTTTTTTATGTATTATTTCTTACGTTATTAATAATAATAATAAAGTTGACGAGCTCAGGGCGAGGGTTTCTTTCCAGAGAGACATCAGGGATTGAAACATACTCTTTCACGGACACATGGCTCTCTCGGCATATACTGTCCGAGTCGGTCCAGCCAGTTGGGTTCTCAGTTCATCGCGCAGACAGGAATAAATATGGTGTATGTTTTATGATTAACGACTCATGGTGTAATTGTGAAAACATACAGGAACTCAAGTCCTTTTGTTCAGCCGACCTAGAATACTTCACAATCAAATGCAGACAGTATTATCTCCCAATATAATTTTCTTCGGTTATAGTCAAGGCCGTGTATATCCCCCCTCAAGCTGATACCACGACGGCCCTCAAAGAACTTCACTGGACTTTATGCAAACTGGAAACCACATTTATTGTAGCTGGGGATTTTAACAAAGCAAATTTGAGGAAAATGTTGCCGAAGTTCTATCAACACATCGACTGTAGTACTCGCGCTGCTAAAACACTCGACCACTGCTACTCCAACTTCCAGGATGCATACAAGGCCCTCCCCCGCCCTCCTTTCAGCAAATCTGACCACGACTCCATTTTGCTCCTCCCTTCCTATAGGCAGAAACTCAAACAGGAAGTACCCGTGCTAAGGACTATTCAACGCTGGTCTGACCAATGGGAATCCACGCTTCAAGATTGTTTTGATCACGCGGACTGGGATATGTTCCAGGTAGCTTCAGAGAATAATATTGACGTATATACTGATACGGTGACTGAGTTTATCAGGAAGTGTATAGGAGATGTTGTACCCACTATGACTATTAAAACCTAACCAGAAACCATGGATAGATGGCAGCATTCGTGCAAAACTGAAAGCGCGAACCACCGCATTTAACCATGGCAAGGAGACTGGGAATATGGCAGAATACAAACAGTGTAGTTATTCCCTCCGCAAGGCAATCAAACAGTGAAAACGTCAGTATAGGGACAAAGTGGAGTCGCAATTCAACGGCTCAGACATGAGACGTATGTGTCAGGGTCTACAGACAATCACAGACTACAAAAGGAAAACCAGCCACGTCGTGGACACCGACGTCTTCCTTCCGGACAAGCTAAACACCTTCTTCGCCCGCTTCGCTACCAAGGACTGTGGGCTTTCCTTCTCCGTGGCCAACGTGAGAAAGATATTTAAGCGTGTTAACCCTCGCAAGGCTGCCGATCAAGATGGCATCCCTAGCCGCGTCCTCAGAGCATGCGCAGACCAGCTGGCTGGTGTGTTTACGGACATATTCAATCTCTCCCTATCCCAGTTTGCTGTCTCCACATGCTTCAAGATGGCCACCATTGTCCCTGTACCCAAGAAAGCAAAGGTAACTGAACTAAATGACTATCACCCCGTAGCACTCACTTCAGTCATCATGAAGTGCTTTGAGAGACTAGTCAAGGATCATATCACCTCTACCTTACCTGCCACCCTAGACCAACTTCAATTTGCTTACCGCCCCAATAGATCCACAGACGATGCAATCGCCATCACACTGCCCTATCCCATCTGGACAAGTGGAATACCTATGTAAGAATGCTGTTCATTGACTATAGCTCAGCATTCAACACCATAGTACCCTCCAAGCTCATCATTAAGCTTGAGGCCCTGGGTCTGAACCCAGCCCTGTGCAACTGGATCCTGGACTTCCTGACGGGCCGCCCCCAGGTGGTGAAGGTAGGAAACAACATCTCCACTACGCTGATCCTCAACACTGGGGCCCCACAAGGGTGTGTCCTTAGCCCCCTCCTGTACTCCCTGTTCACCCATGACTGCGTGGCCAAGCACGCCTCCAACTCAATCATCAAGTTTGCAAACAAAACAGTAGTAGGCTTGATTACCAACAACGACGAGACAGCCTACAGGGAGGTGAGGGCTCTGGGAGTGTGGTGCCAGGAAAATAACCTCTTATCCAACATCAACAAAACAAAAGGAGATGATCATTGACTTCAGGAAACAGCAGAGGGAACACCCCCCTATCCACATCGACGAGACCACAGTGAAGGTGGAAAGCTTCAAGTTCCTCGGCGTAAACATCACTGACAAACTGAAAATGGTCCACCCACACTGACAGTATGGGGAAGAAGGTGCAATAGCGCCTCTTCAACCTCAGGGGGCTGAAGAAATTTGGTTTGGCACCTAAAACCCTCAAACCTTTACAGATGCACAATTGAGAGCATCCTGTCGGGCTGTATCACCACCTGGTACGGCAACTGCACCGCCCGCAACCGCAGGGAGACTGAAAAACAGCTTCTATCTCAAGGCCATCAGACTGTTAAATAGCCTTCACTAGCACATTAGAGGCTGCTGCCTATATACATAGATTAGAAATCACTGGCCACTTTAATAAATGGAACACTAGTCACTTGAATAATGTTTACATATCTTACATTACTCATCTCATATGTATATACTGTATTCTATACTATTCTACAGTATCTTAGTCTATGGGCTCCCGAGTGGAGCAGCGGTCTAAGGCACTGCATCTCAGTGCTTGAGGCGTCACTACAGACCCCCTGGTTCGATTCCAGGCTGTATCACAACCGGCCGTGATTGGGAGTCCCATAGGGCGGCGCACAATTGGCCCAGCGTCGTCCGGGTTTGGCCGGTGTAGGCCGTCATTGTCAATAAGAATTTGTTCTTAACTGACTTGCCTAGTTAAATAAAGGTTAAAAATATATAAAATACAATTCTCAAAAAATATATAAAGAAAACAAATAAAAAATGCCACTGACATTGCTCGTCCATGTATTTATTTATATATTCTTAATTCCATTACTTTACTTAGATTTGTGTGTATATGTTGTGAAATTTTTAGATATTACTTGTTAGCTATTACTGCACTGTTGGAGCTTGAAATACAAGCATTTCGCAACACCCGCAATAACATCTGCTAAACACGTATATGTGACTAATAAAATTTGATTTGAGTGACTGTCAGTGACTGACATAAGAGAAAAACCGCTGCTGCAGAACCACATTTCAAAATTGCACCTTGTCTATTCTACTATTCTAACTCTAAACAGTAAGCTGAGACCCCGACGGAGTTCCTACAAAAGGGGGGCTGTGGGTTGCCAACTGCCCATCCCTGCTGTAGGTCATGTAACTATTTGTTACATGCAATATTTGCGTTGTGGACTTCACCGGACAGTTGCTACTCTCCGGTTTTGTTATGAAACAAAAGTACGGTTGAATTTGTTCAGCCACTGTGTGACTTGTCTTTGCCTAACGGGTTATAGAGCAAACAACGCAATAATCACTACACCTAGGTTGTAATATGTATTTTTCCTGGCTTGGCTACCCCAGTGATTTTACCCACGCACCGCTACTGCCAATAAAGAGCTTGATGAATAGAACAATAGTCTGGAATAGAACAAGTATGGAGACCGGTTAGAGGGTCCCTGAAGATTGTGCCGGGAAACACTGGGTTAGGATATGAGGAGGAAGGATGCATTTAAGAATTCAAAACTAAAACTTTAGAGTTGAACTCAGACCTCGCTTCTGCTTCTTCCTCTCCTCCTCCTCTCCAACAGGGGGCGCCTCTTCACAGCCGGTGTCCTGCTTGGGTGCATTTCCTACGGGACCAATAAGGCAGAATAAAAAAATATATATATATTTAAATACGACAGCACCCATCTTCCTGATAGGAAAAATAAGGGAGGGAGTGAGAGACTGTCTGATGGAACTCACCTACACTCATTCTGGCAAACACATCTGGGAAGTTCTTCTCCAGCCACTGCCTGCATTTTGCCGGCTCAGGCATGTACTCACAATACTCTGTTGGCAAGGAACACACTACAAAAACAATTACATGGAGAAGTGTTAAACCTTGACAATAATGTGACATTACAAAACAATGTTTTAGGAATTGGCCATGATCATCTATAGAGCACTAGAATGGGGTGCCATTCCGGACGCAGCCCGGCTACTACCTCCTACTACGACTACCTAGTACTTACCTCCACAGTACTGGACTTTCATTGGATACTTTGTGTCCGGGTAAGCACTCCGATGATGGTCTCCTTTGTTTTCTGGTAAGCCTGTCTCTGCATTCTCAGTAGTAGCCATGATAGATTATCTGAACAGAGGGGAAAAAGGTGAATTAGGTAGTAAAGTATGCTTTCAAATCGAACGAACAGTGAGAATCAGACAGTCTTTTACCACCGACAACTTGGCTTAGTCATGATCCTGGACCCTCAACAATGGATTAGTCTGATGACAGCAAACATACATTGTCAAAGCACTGAAAACAGATGCCTGTCATGGCCTGCCATGTCAGTCAACATGGATAGCCACTGTATGTCAATTTAATCAATGCATAACACCAAACCTCACCATGGAAACTGCTGCAATATATTTATCAGATAATAGTGCTGCTGCTATTGCAGTAACATTGCAGCTCAATAAATTAGCCAACACCCCATCTTCAGCTAAGCAGCTACGTGAGGTCCGGCATGTCACACACTATATATACACAAAAGTATGTGGACACCCCTTCAAATTAGTGGATTCGGCTAGCTCAGCCACACCCGTTGCTGACAGGTGTATAAAATTGAGCACACCGCCATGCAATCTCCATAGACAAACATTGGCAGTAGAATGGCCTTACTGAAGAACTTTTAACATGGAACCGTCATAGGATGCCACCTTTCCAACAAGTCAGTTAGTCAAATATCTGCCCTGCTAGAGCTGCCCCGGTCAACCGTAAGTGCTGTTATTGTGAAGTGGAAACGTCTAGGAGCAACAACGCTCAGTAAAAATCGTCTGTCCTCGGTTGCAACACTCACTACAGAGTTCCAAACTGCCTCTGAAAGCAACGTCAGCTCAAGAACTATTCATCATGAAATGGGTTTCCATGGCCGAGCAGTCGCACACAAGCCTAGCATCACCATGCGCAATGCCAAGTGTCGGCTGGAGCGGTGTAAAGCTTGCTGCCATTGGGCTCTGGAGCAGTGGAAACACGTTATCTGTAGTGATGAATCACGCTTCACGATCTGGCAGTCCGATGTACGAATCTGGGTTTGGCGGATGCCAGGAGAACACTACCTGCCCGAATGCATAGTGCCAACTGTAAAGTTTGGTGGAGGAGTTATAATGGTCTGAGGCTGTTTTTCATGGTTCGGGCTAGGCCCTTAGTTCCAGTGTTGGGAAATCTTAACGCTAACAAAAACAGTTTGGGTAAGGCCATTTCATGTTTCAGCATGACAATGCCCGTGTGCACAAAGCGAAGTCCATACAGAAATGGTTTGTCGAGATCGGTGTGGAAGAACTTGACTGTCCTGCACAAAGCCATGACCTCAACCCCATCGAACACCTTTGGGATGAATTGGAACGCAGACTTCGAGCCAGGCCTAATCACTCAACATCAGTGCCCAACCTCACTTATGCTCTTGTGGCTGAATGGAAGCAAGTCCCCGCAGCAATGTTCCAACATCTAGTGGAAAGCCTTCCCAGAAGAGTGGAGGCTGTTATAGCAGCAAAGGGGGGGACCAACTCCATATTAATGCCCATGATTTTGGAATGAGATGTTCGACGAGCAGGTGTCCACATACTTTTGGTCATGTAGTGTACCTTGGCCTTAGCTAGCTAACAGGCTGAGGAGCAATATCTAGCAACAAAGAAGATTGACTTCGTGAATGAATAACAAAGATATGTAGAATTGTATGACAACTTTCCTTACAGCTGCTGTTGAAACTCATGACATCATGAGCCAGCAATTGCGTTAGATTGCTAACTTGCATGCTGCCCATTCTGGTGCCTTTGCAAGACAAAATTGGCAGATAACATGTTATTGTAAACGGTGACCAATCATACATAGACTAGCTACAAGTTAGATTGGCGAGCTAGCTTCAACAGCTGGTCGGCGAGCTAGCTTCAACAGCTGGTCAGCCAGCTAGTTAGCTAATATTTTTGACAACTGCCTGGTTTCTTGGCTGAGACTTCATTCATAGCTGGCTAGCTACCTAGCTATGCTAACTGACGGCGCAGTTAACGTTACACAGCAGTAGCTAGCTAGCATTACCGCCAAGTCAATCAATGGAAAGACAACATGATCCAACATACCCCTCGAATACGACCTTAATATTGTTGACTGTTTAACAAAACCGTAAGCATTATTAAGTAAAGTTAAAGCAAATAATTTAATTAGAATAATGCTCATTTGTAACCACTGGTTTTAACAGCTTGAGGCGCACACCTACAGCCTGATTTGGCCAGGGGTCCTGTCAATGTCTTGGAACGCACGCACGTCTAAGCTATAGTAGGTGTTTTCTTAGTTGCCTGATTTATCACATCTATAAAAATTTAACAATTTGTCAAAGAAATAGCTATAAATTGCATTTAATATAAAAATTACGATGTACTGGAAAATAAAGTTGAAAATATCTGTCATATGTAACTCCTCTTATGGTTTTTTATTGATGTTATACGATAGGCATTCACATATATGCCTTGACACTCCTCCGCGCCCATCACACGTTTTTATTATTATTATTACGTTACACGAACATTGTATAAAACAATAAACAAATATCACACATAACTAAAGTATAAAAAATATAATAATATAAATCCAGGGAGACACAAAAAAAGTACATTACCCTATAGACAAGTTACATTTTGACAAATACTGTAGATACTTATTTGATAATTTGGTATTTTTATATTATAGGGATGTTATATAATATTGTAAATCAATTAGAAAAATATTGAAACGTTAATTTTTTCATGGGTAAAAACAACAAGTGATAACAACAAGTGATTTGAAAATGTGCAAACTTTCAACAGGGATTTAATGCTAGGCTAAATGTCTATTTCAAGTTACAAATCAACTTAGTGTTAGATAATTGTGGCGTAATCAATTTGATTTGATGATGCGCTGTATATTTTTATAAATGGTCCATGATTTGAATGGGAGACAATGATCATGAGATGCCCATTTAAATCCGATTAGTTTAGCTAGCCAGCTGTCAGCTAGCTGGTTAGGCAAGTCGTGATGTAGCTAGCTAGCGTTATATTTAACCAAAACTGTAACATAAGTTACAAGAAATGTAATGAGTGAGTTGAGATGGACCACGGAGGTAGAAGACCATTCAATCCAAATGGAGGATCTTGACACTCATCATCACACAGCTATTCTGGGGTGTGTATGCGTGTGTCTGTGTCTGAGAAAGCTGCCAGTCACTGTATTATAAACAAAAACATGTATTTGTGTTCCAGTTACTCCATATCATCTCTGGCACAGCACACCTGTGAGACATGTCATATTGAGCCAATCAATCGATATTGGACATGTTATATTTCATCAAAATATGATGATATTATTTGACCATACATTTTTTAAACTAATTTGTCTTATTGCCTTGATTAGACTACTGGTCTAATGAAAGGAGACATTCTAACATGAATGGCTCCATTTTTGCAGAAGAACGTGGGAGCTTCTTTTGAAGTGCCCTCCCCAGTGTCCAGCTCAGCGTGAGTGCAGAAGATGGTCAGCCAGAAGTCCCCATGGCCTCAGTCCCACAGGCAGCATCTATGCCACAACCCCCTCCATGTCTCTACCCCTCCTACAGGACAGACAGGTGGGAGGTGCTGCTGTTTACTCACAGAGGCAAATGCATATAATTAGGAATTAGAATACTAGAATGGACATGAAAGGTCTTATGTCAGTATAAAAGGTCAGCCATTTTTGGTCAGGGAGTTGGTCAGCCAGTGTGCTGTGAAACAATGAATTTGAAGATTATCTGCACAGTATCTTTATTAGCTAGCCAGCTAATAAAGATACTGTGCAGATAATCATTTAAGTGGAATGATTCCAATACTTTTTCAAATTAACTATCAATATGCCAACATTCCATACAAAAAATGCAGTCAATCCACAGCCATACACTGGCTAAAAGCAGTTGATGATAGGATTTAGACAAGTTGTAAATGCAACAGGTACTGATATTGTATCCATATTATAACACTAACAGCTTTCCAAGAAAACAAACATTGAGACATTTAGGGTCTGTTTACATACAGATCTGGAAAAAATTAAGAGACCACTGCAAAAAGTTTCTCTGGTTTTACTATTTATAGGTATGTGTTTGGGTGAAATTACATTTTTTGTTTTATTCTGTAAACTACTGACAACATTTCTCCCAAATTCCAAATAAAAATATTGTCATTTAGAGCATTTATTTGCAGAAAATGACAACTGGTCAAAATAACAAAAAATATGCAGTGTTGTCAGACCTCGAATAATGCAAAGAAAATAAGTTCATGTCCATTTTTAAACAACACAATACTAATGTTTTAACTTAGGAAGAGTTCAGAAATCAATATTTGGTGGAATAACCCTGATTTTCAATCACAGCTTTCATGCGTCTTGGCATGCTCTCCACCAGTCTTTCACATTGATGTTGGGTGACTTTATGCCACTCCTGGCGCAAAAAATCAAGCAGCTCGGCTTAGTTTGATGGCTTGTGACCATCCATCTTCCTCTTGATCACATTCCAGAAGTTTTCAATGGGGTTCAGGTCTAGAGATTGGGCTGGCCATGACAGGGTCTTGATCTGGTGGTCCTCCATCCACACCTTGATTGACCTGGCTGTGTGGCATGGTGCATTGTCCTGTTGGAAAAACCAATCCTCAGAGTTGTCGAACAATGTCAGAGCAAAAGGAAGCAAGTTTTCTACCAGGACAACCTTGTACGTGGCTTGATTCATGCGTCCTTCACAAAGACAAATCTGCCAGATTCCAACCTTGCTGAAGCACCCCCAGATCATCACCGATCCTCCACCAAATTTCACAGTGGGTGCGAGACACTGTGGCTTGTAGGCCTCTCCAGGTCTCCGTCTAACCATTAGACAACCAGGTGTTGGGCAAAGCTGAAAATTGGACTCATCAGAGAAGATGACCTTACTCCAGTCCTCTACGGTCCAATCCTTATGGTATTTTGCAAACCTCAGCCTGGCTTTTCTTTGCTTCTCATTGATGAAGGGCTTTTTTTTTTTTTGCTTTGCACGACTTCAGCCCTCCCCCTAGGAGCCTGTTTCGAACCGTCCTCGCCGTGCACTTCACCCCAGCTGCTGTTTG